CAAAGAAACAGCAATCAAAATGCATAGATATCTGATAATGTAGAATAACAGAAGTTCTGAAACATAAAAGAAAAACTGACAGAACTAAAGGGAAATTTAAAAACTGCAGTTGGATATTTGAATGCGCAGTTCTCAGCAATTGATAGAACTAGATAAAAATTACTAGACACAAAAAATCAAAATAACACTATTAATCATCTTGAGCTAGTTGAGATTATATCCAACACAGAGACACAGAGACATATTCTGTTCCCAATGCTTACTGTATTGTCACTAAGATAGATCATCAATTTGGGTCATAACGACAAATAGAAAAGGTTGGTAGCATACAGATGCTTTCTGTATAATAATAGAACTAATGATAATAGAACTAAAATGTATTAATGGAAAATGTATGTAAATGTGGAAGATTAATCTTTCTGATGATAACAGAACTAAAATATTGTAGAAATCAATAACAAGTTATTTTTTAAAAATCCTAACATTTGGAAAATACAATTTACCAATACTGGCACAGGATGAAACATAAAATCTGGATAGCCCTATATGCATTAAGGATCCTGAAATTGCTAGCAAAGCCTTCTCACAAAGACAAATTTAGGCTGGTTAATTTTAATGGTTAAATCTATTAAATAATTAAGAAGGAAGAATAGCAATATTCACTTTGGTGACAAGAATAAACCTGGATCATAAACAAACAAAAGATATTACAAAATAGAAAACTATAGGCCAATATCCCCCGATCACAGATGCAAAAATCTTTAACCAAATATTAGGGGAAAAGAGGATAATGACCAAGTAGGACTTATCCCAGATATTCAAGTTTGGTTTAATCTGCTAGGAATTTGTGGTAGATTTATGGGAAAGAATTGCAAAGTGAAAACATTAGATCAAGGAAAGAATTTCTACAGTTGCTCTTTTTTTCTCACAGGGAAAAAATAGGTGGTCAGATGAAACAAACCACACCAGACTAAGAATCGAGATCGGGTTCTAGTTCTGGTTCTGCCCCCAACTCAATGTATAACCTTAGAAACTTTGCTGTTTGACCTTAATTCTACATGTCCAATGATGACCTTTTAGGTTCTCTTCCAACTCTAACATTCTAAGAACCCAATTCTAAGAACCTATGTGAGCAAGTCCTAAAATTCTTATCACAGCTGCCTAGACTTTCTGCATCAGCACTCCAGAAGGCAGAAGTAGAAAATGTGCAAGATATGCTTTCATGCACTACTGAAGACACCATCTGCACGAGACTTGAAGTCCTGAGGACTCAAGGGTGACTCCCCAGTTGAGAGCACCCCAACTTCAGGAAGCACCTTTAACTCACTCTGCAAAGGCATCCAAAATGTCAGTAAAGCCCATGAACTTTGGGCTGAGTTGCGTTGGAATCCCAGTTTTCCTACCTGCTAACTGACCCTGGAAAGAGTTGCGTTGGAATCCCAGTTTTCCTACCTGCTAACTGACCCTAGAAAAATTCTCCAATTCTCTAAAACTCAGTTTCTTCTTCTGTGAAAAGGAATGAATATCAATGATGTGGAATTATTGTGAGAATTAATTGAAATAGTATAAGAAAGTTCATGGATTACAGTAATTTCTCAATAAATATTAGTTCATTTATTGTTTTCCCAAGTCAAAACCAGAGAACTAAGTTTGCCTATTTCTAGCAGAACATGCCAGAAACCATGGTTCAATTTTTATAGAGATGTATGTATTTCTCTTTCACACAGAAGAATCCAGGCATCTGGGAAACCTGGAGCTTCTTGGTCAGAGTCTTCCCTTTCTGCTCCATTACCTTTAGTGTTTGGATTTCAAGCACATGGTCACAACAAAAAGGCTGTGGATTTCCTCCATCCTTGTCAACTCCAGACAGGAATTAAAAGAGAGGGAGATAGGTAAAAAAGGAGAGGGAGAAAAGCAAAAAAGGTTTCTGCCAGCACTACTGAAGCATAAAGAACTTCTCTGGATGCTCTAGTCATGCAGACTTCTACATACATCTTTTCAGCCTTCTCTAAGTTGTAAGAGAGGCTATAAACTGGAGACTACTCCCAATAAAACTTCTGTTACTAAGAAACAGGGGAGAATGGGTGCAGGCAGCTGTGATCTGTAGGAACCTCCTTTTGGGGTTATTTTGCCTTGGGGAGCATGGAGTTAGCATGTAATAGCTTGCCTGGCTTCTGAATCATAAGGAAGACAGCTCTCATGAAACCAACAGATTGAATTCAAAATCTAGTTTTGACGTTTGCAAACGAGTGATCACAGGTCAGGCAAATTACTGTACTAGAGCATGTTATTTCACCTGTAAATAGGATGATAATAATATGTCTATCTCCCAGGTTTGAGGTAAAGATTCACGAGGGCTGAATAAATGAGTGTACTCTGATCACAGTTCTGAGCAGAAAGCCAATTACATTTGTTCCTCTGAACTTGAGGTCCATGGTTAGGGCACTTGCATTACTCTGAATGACCTAAGGAGGGGTCCTTGGGCAGTGGCACAAACATCATGGGGAGCAGCTCTTGTGGTGACTGGGGAAGGAGGTCTTAACTCTTGCAACAGGCCTAAGTTTCAGGGCTTTGTTTACAAAGTTACTTGTTCCTAAAAAGTGACCCATGTCCCCAAATAGTCTGTATTGGGTTTGATTATGATATCCCCCTGGGCTGAAACTTTCTCAAGGAGGAAGAAAAGGCAGCAGTCTTTACAAATCCAGCGTCTTTACAAGGTGAAACCAGGCACCCAGTGCCCTGGAACTGCCCTCACCTGTGATGGCCATCCACCTGTCCCACAAAGCCCAGGCTTCATACCTTCCATCCTGTTCACAGGAACTGCAGTCTCCTTGACCTCCTGAAAAAAAGTAAGAAGCAAACCCCTCAGATGAAGGTTGTGGGATCATGGGCAGAATACTTAATGCCAATATGTGGCTTTATCTATAAAATGAGCAGGTTGGACTTGATGTTTTAAAAACTAGAAATACCTACTACACGCTGTCCCCTAAGGTAGGCACCGGCAATGCTGTGGTGAGAGACATAGTCTTCCTCTGAGGGACGTGGTCTTAGGGTATACTGACAGAGAGCTGGGCAGGGAGTGGGCAATGCTGAGGGAATTCTGAGGGAAGAACCTTTCCTGAAGCTTGTATTTCATGTGTTACTCCTGGCAGAGTAAGGGAAACTCAGAGGTGACAGAAGCCTGTTGTCCTGCTCCCTATAATGGGGTTTCTTGGTCATATTCATTTATTCAAATAATTTTCAAGCTTATTCTCTATTGAAGTTGCAAGTGCTAGAGGTCCCATGATGAAAAAGATAGATTTAGATCTTGCCTCTGAGGGGCTTAGAGTTGAATAATGGATTCACAAATTAAAATACTAAATTATGGGAAAATATCTATATAATTTCTATTAAAGAACAGTACAGATGATGGTAGCGCATGATGGGAGTGTGAAGGAGGACAGAGAAGTCCTGAAGGTGGGCCACAGGGGTAAAGAAAGGTATAGCGGTGGGGAGTTTATCTCCTCATTTGCAATTCCAGGCATGTGGGAGGCAGAGTAATGGCTTTCCCAGATGTCTCTGTCCTAGTCCCTGGAATTGTGAATATGCTATGTTACATGGCGAAGCAAGAATTAAGATTGTAGAGACTATCGAGGTGGCTGGTGGAAGTTTTCCTAAATTATCTGGATGGAATCAATGCAATCATTGAGTCCTTAAAAGTAGGAGAGGTAGGCGGGAGAGATGTCATGTTTGAGGCAAGGTCAGAGAGAAGCTATGTTGCTGGCTTTGAGAATGGAGGATGTCCATTAACCAAGGAATATGGGTAGTCTCTAAAAGCTGAAATACACAGGTACATGGGTTCTCTTCTAGAGGGTTCCAGAAGGGAATCCAGGCTGGCAACACTTTGATTATAACATCAATTCATATTGGACTTCTGAAATGCAGCACAGCAAAATAATATATTTGTGTTATTTTAAGCCACTGAGTCTGTGGTAGTCTCTTATGGTAGCAGTTGGAAAGTTCTTCTGGGCCTTCACTCAGATATTTCTGTTCTGAAAGCCATTTCTTCACCCACCTGCCTTCCCCTCCCCCTGCCCAAATTTCAACGCTATCTTTCCCTTAACCCTGCTTCCTGGATCCATACCACTGGAGCCCGAAATTCAAAGGGCACTGTGTACTGTTTGATCAATACAGGGGCCACAAAGAGAGGAGGTCAAGTATCTGACAAGGGGTAGGAGAGAGCTCTCCTCAGGTCTCAGGTCTAGAATCTTGGGCAACAAGGAATTTGGCGTCTTTCTGCAGAGGAAGACAGAGATAGGTGCTACCTCAAACCCATAAAAGACAAACATAACTGTATCATGCACTTATCCTATGAGCTTATCATTAATGTTCATGGGCCATGGGAGACCAAGTCGGAGGAATTAGAGGAAGATCACTGGAGGGTAATCAAGGGCAACATCAAGGGCCATGGGCCAGGTGCCAAGGAAGATGCTGCTTCCCCTTCCTGCCCCTTCCCCTTTCCTGGAGGCGGGGTGGGGGCGGGGCAGTGGCTTAGGACAAAGTCCGCTGAGAGGGAAACATGGCTTGGCCAGCTGTGCCCAGGCTGGGGCCCAGATCCGGTCACAGAGGCCAGGCAGGTCAACCTCCTCCTTCCCTCTGCTCTCAACGCCCCCCTTGCCCTCCAGTGGGCAGAGGCAGCGCACGGGGCGCGAAGACCCGGCGAGGAGCCGGGGGTCATGCAGGGAGCTGGCCTGCGGTGGGGTGCACGGCGGGGTTTCTCACTTCCCCTCCCCAACGGCCGGAGCAGGTGCCGCGGCCCGAGCCCCGCAGGCGGGGCGGGAGGTGTGGACACGCCCCCGCGGCCTGTCCTC